AGAGATCAAATCTTTTAACAGCAATCCTGAAGCAGAATGAGGAATTAGGGGAAGCTATATACTCTCAATGTCAGTCCCAAGTGACATACTTCTTCCAGAAAGAATGTGCCTCCTAAACTTCCAAAAATAGCACCACCGACTAGGGAGCACATATTAAAATGTATAAGCCTATGAGTTATGCATTTCTCATCCAAAGTACTACAGCTTATATCATGAATGCCTGCCACAAACTTTCCAATCAATCCAGTATCACAGAATGAATGGAAGTTTGAAACTGTATTATTTGGGTATTAAACTCGATTACTTGGAAGATAAACAACCAGGAAAAGCCAATTATCAGATATATAACATATTTTTACAAATTGTGACAGTGTAAGGTCTTGTGTATTTGTAAGCTAGCCTGAAACTTGCTCTGTAGACCACACTGATCCTCCTGCCTCCCAAGTGTTGGGAATGTAGTTTAGTGGTAGAGCACTTGCCTAGTATGTGACACCTAGCACTGCCCTCTCCCCAGGTTTTCTTTCTGTTCTGCACTTGGTTTAGTATGCATTGAGACAAGATGTTTGTTAGGGTTACTATATAAAAACGTCACTGTGATGAACATAAGACCCTTAATATGCAGATTTGCTTTCCTATATACATTTTCTGGACTTTAAAAAAATGCCTTTGTGTGTACACTTGCAGAGGACTGAAGAGGACACTGGATTCCCTGAAGCTGGAGTTACAAGTGATTTTAAACTGCCCAATGTGGGTAGCTCTGAACTCTGATCCTCTTTGAGAGCTCTTCACCATATCAATTTTTAAAAAGACTTTACAAAAAGAATTTCACATCTGTGGTTTTTACTTTACAGATGCTGAAAAATACTGAAGGGCATACAACTTCATTACTGATTTAACCAAAACTTATTTACTAAGCTTTAGTCCTTAACTGTTCTTCCATGAGGTAGTGAAAGTTTACTACAAGGCATATATACTGCTGCTGAGATCTAACCTTTGAGTAAGACAAAACTGATTGTTGAAGGAACATGTTTGTGGGTCATACTTTGCTTTGACCTGGAAGCAGTAATATCTCTAGGGCATGAAAAAGACAAATGAGTTCCTAACGGATGTTCCAAGCTACTTCCTTCCTCTCCAAGGATCTATCAGAAAATAAGGGAGGGACCTGTTTAATGTGACCAGATACAAGGTTGGTTCCCAAAAAGCTAGTCTTAGTCTTTCACCTGGAACATACTCCGTGCTATTAAGGTGAATACTCACTACAGATCTTACTGCCATTCTGATAACATTATAAAACTTGTCTATACACTGGTTGGAGAAAAGCTTGACAGTGAAGGAGTTCTTTAAACTCAGGTCCATTTCATATTAAAATAGAAGGGCCATCTTGCTTTGCAAATTTCTGTCCACCCCTGTTGAGGAACTTTGCCTGCAGTCTGCTTATACAGAACTGAAATACTACATTGATCAATTCCTGAGACCCAAGGGATATTCATTTTCTTATGGTGTTTGGTGTTTTTATCTTGCATGAAATGATAAAGCCCCAGTCTAATCCTGCTGGGATTCCTATCAGTAGTGAATTCCAAACTGTCTCATGGTTTCATTAAAATTTGAATTATATTTGGTACAAAGCATTAGAGTTCTGCTTTCAAATTAATCTTTGACTGAGAAATGCCCTTACTCTGTGACTTTTACACTGTAGTTAGCTCAAGCTGTTTTTAAAAGGTCAGTTTTGTTTTGCTTTAAAATGAACAACTGTGGGCTGGGCAGTGGTGGCACACACCTTTAATGCCAGCATTCAGGAGGCAGAGGCAGGCAGATCTCTGTGAATTCGAGGTCAGCCTTGTCTGCAGAGTGAATTCTAGGACAACTGGGGATACACAGAGAAACCCTGTCTTGAAAACACAAAAAAGATGAACTAAGAAGGAATCCTACAATAAAAAGGTGGTCTTTTCTCTTTTTTTTTTTTTTTTTTTTTTTTTGAGACAGGCTGACTTTGAACTGCCATCAATCTACTGCCTCACCTCCCCTGGTGCAGAGATTATAGGTGTGAACCATCATGCCTGGATATCAAAGGTTTTTGTTTTGAGGCAGGGTTTCATGTAGCTCAGCCTGGATGATACAGGAAAATAGCTTTGAATTCCTGATTTTTCACCCTAATCCTCCTAAGTCCCAAGTGCTGGAATTACAGGCATGTATGTACCACCAGCCTAAATTGGTGTTTTGTATTTTTATTTCCTCAGGATGGTTATACATATTTAGACTTCCTGGCATATAACATAGGTACCAATGAATGATAGTTTTCTTGTGTAAGTTTTGAGAAACTAGAATTCCTCAAAATAACATACCAATTTTTTAAGGCACTTAATATGCAAGGGGTTACTATTGATAATTCTGTAAAAGTAGCTTCAAATTCAGACCTTGATCATTTAGCAACATGGCTTCTTTACTAAACCATCTGAAACTAAAGCCAGGGTGATGAGTCATCCATTGCAGTAGTCTGTTCCCGGTGAAAGAAATACTCTGGATAGCAGAATTTGTTTTAGGGCTTATTAGGTTATCTATTTTAAGGTAGGACCTAAAACAATGCCTTTCAGGTACAATTTAGGAAACTTAAGTTTCTAAGCTAGGGAATTGCCCTTTCTCCTGGCTCTATGTGGCTGGATATTTGGGTAGTATAATCTCATAATATATATCTTTTATTACCATAAATTACTGATTTTTAAAAGACATGCCAGTTTGGGGGTTTGTTTTTGTTTGGGGACATGGCCTTGCTATGTGGTAGGGTTATCTTGAACTCTAGATCCTCCTGCCTCAGAACTCCCCAGTGTGGGGATTACAGGTTTGTACCACAATGCACCAGCACTGAGTAACACTGATTACCATCTGGACCATTTCTCTTGGGGGAGGGGTGTGCATTAACTGCTTTAAATTTAAGGTGCCTTTGCTGAGAGAAATCTGCTTAGTCATTTTAGTTGCTTTTAGTGTTTTTCCCCAATACTGTCTTTTATACTTAGGATGAGAGAAGGCTCTGGCAGGCAAGAAGGCAGTTCTATTAATAAGCAAAATGATTTGGGATATCATAATCTACTTTTCTTATTCTGAAATGATTTGTGAAAACAACTCATTCCTGAAATTTCTGTGTGTGATGACACAGCAGTCTTTGGACTCAATGCACTTTTTAGTTAGCTGTTCCACACTAAGTAAGTAAAATCAATTGCTTTGGCGATTCTAAATGTACTTAAAATTACAGGGTCTTTAGGAAAATGCAAGGCACTTGTCAATAAATTAAAGTGTGATCTGTTCATGATGCAGGTCTTATATTCCGAGATTGAAAATGCAATTCGTTTAGTTAGTGGCATTTCTGTAATAAAACAATAGCTCCCTTAGAATTTTAGAATCTGCCCACTTCCAAAAAAAGGACCTAAAGCCTCGTATTAAAACGATCATTTCAAACGTTGCAAGACAGAGCACATTCAAGGGCTTGTCTTAATAAAGTGAAATTATGCAAACACAAAGCATCCTACAATATGGTGGCAAGGCTCTTCTTCACAATCATCTCCGACTGCCCTCTTACCTGCCAGTTTCTTCAGTCAGTCTAGGTTTGAAAGACAGTATTTGGGGTGGAAACACTAAAAGCAACTAAAATGACTAAGCAGATTTCTAAGCAAAACTGCTTACACAAAATAATTGTATACCTAGTGAGGTCTTATAGTGTTTAGGTGAAAGGGGCAATGAAAATAATTTTCTCAAGAACTTTCAAGGGAATAAAAAAAAAAAGATGAAAGGCACGGGATTGAATTCTATAATTCTTCCTTATATCGGTGTTATTGTGAAACATTACATCTTACGCTTTATCAAGGGCTCTGGGGCGGCTGCTAATCGCTAATGAACGCTGCAGATACCTTAACGCTGTGGGCAGCCACGGTGCTCCGGGTTTGAAGTGCTTGTATTGCCCACACTGCTACGACAGGCAATGGTCCTACTAACACGTATGACTAGCAGTCAATCCCTCCGCTCCGAGAAAGCCTTTGAGGATCCTTCCTCCAAGCCATCCCCTGATCTAAATAAGACTCATGATCTGACGTTGCTGGACCCTCCAAGTCTCGAAGGCCAAGCTGATGTCTACACTAGGTGGGTCTAAATCCACCAAAATGTCCGCGGGAGCGCTCTCCGGGGCCGGCCTCAAGACACTCCTCACATGGCCTTCCTTCACTGTCCTTTGAGGTGGTTTATCTGAGGAACTCGGAAGCCGGCCGGTTCTCCCGGCGTCAGCAGGGCGTGCGTCAGGGAATGGAGCTTGCAGCCCGGCGCGATCCCCCTCCCAGAGGTGTCAGCAACCACCCACTGCGTGAAACCGGGCGGGGGAGGCGCGCCGCAGCCAGCCGCCCGAAGAGCGCTGCGGCGCGGCCCTTTTCCTGAGTCACCCCGGCGCCCACGCCGCGGCCTCCTCCTCAGGCACTCGCTCTCCTCACGCCCCGGCCGCCTCGCCGGCAGGGGGTCCATCCGCCACCTCACCCCCAGAGGCCGCGGCCATCCCCTAACCCTCGCCCTCCACTCTGGCAGCCGTCAACCGACCCTTCCCTGCCCGCATCACGTGCGCCTGGAAGTGCGTGGGTGGGTCCTACAGCGCCTACGGAAATGACGTCGGTCGCCCCGAGTCGCATGATGTGGCAAAATGTTAAAAAAAAAAAAAAAAAGAGAGGGGGGGGGGGGGGGAGGACAGGAGGTAGAAACCGGAGCCTGGGGAAAGTGATGAGTCTTAAAAAAGTAGTCCCTCGGCCCCTCTGTTTCCTCGCAGTCGCCGCCGCGAAGAGCGCTCCGCGCACTGCGTCCCTGAATTCCTACGCCCGACCGCGGCGCGGCGCTCGTGGAAGGCTACATAAGGCGGAGGGGGTGAGGAGGCTGGGCGGAGTTCTGCCCCGGGATCCTTCCGCAGGGCTCAGCCGTTTCCGGAGTCTGCGCTGCTCCCGGTTCCGCCATTGCGGCTCTCCCGGCCCCTGGAGCCTCCGCCCCCGACCCAAGCTCTTTCGTCTGCCTGCCAGTTTCCTGCGTCCCCGGAGAGTATCCTGCTGAGCCCAGCCTCCCCCCCTTCCCCTTCTCCTCCTCTCCCTTGGAGAGCCCGGGCAGGCACTGCCCCGTAGCCCAGTGACAGGAGGAGACCATACCCCCCGACAGCGCCATGGCCCAGATTCTGCCAATTCGTTTTCAGGAGCATCTCCAGGTGTGTGTGGGTCGGGGCTGCCGAGGGCCTTTTCGTGGGTAGAGGCAAAGAAGGAGCCGGCGGCCCGGCCCGAAAGGGATCGAGGGGAGGCGGGGGGGGGGGTTGGTATTTGGCGTTAGATAGAGGAAGGGACACTGTCTTAAAAGCTTAAAGGGTTAAGTGATATTAGACTAGGATGGAAATGACGAATCGGAGTGCAAAGGGCGGCGAGGCCAGGCCTTACGTCTGACGGCCTCTTATTCTGCTTCCTGAATTGCAAGAATTGCACATACTAGACTCGACTCCCTTCCCATTTCACTCAGTTCATTCATTTGGGTAGGGGGTATGTGGGAGAGATTCTCGCACGTTTCTTCCGGAGCGAGAATTCTCGTTAACCCTGGGCTGGTGCAGGGCTGTCACCTTCCCTTGGTTTATTCCCGTTTCCACACCTAGTCTGCACCCAGAAATTGTGTGTCGGGTGGGTTGGGGAGGAGCAACCTTTTTCATCCTCCCTCTGCAGTTCACAACTGAGAAAGGCACCTTGGGGTAGGGGTAGGCAGTGGCTTGTGTCTTGTCTTCCCTGAATCTATAAGGAACCGAACGAAGGTCACTCACTGCAGGAACAGAAAGAAGATAGAATAGAGGGGCGGCTAGGGGCGGTGTCAGCCTCTGGGTGCCTGGGGTCAAGGTCCCAAGGGGAACGCGCATATTTTTCCTTTCTTGGTTTCTTCGTAGGGTGGTGTAGCTCTTAGCGTCACTTGGATTCTAGAAGGCAGGGAGAGTTATTTAGAGGTTATTTGTGGCCTTTTGGAATCTAGCAGGTAGTACAGTCTCACAGGACTGTGTGGAATTCAGCAGAGCCTGGTAGTAAATGCATACCTGCTCTGAGTCAGTACCAGACCAGTTGATCTGTAACTGGCTTCTTTTTAGTAGGTTGGGCGACCCCCCCACCCCCAACTGTGCCTTATCCTGGAGTTAATACACCATTGTCTAACCTGGCAGCATGCCAACGGTTGGCCTAGGCAGGTGACCATTGGAGGGCTTCGCTGAATTAAGCTTCTTCCGAACTGCTGATTTTCCTGATTCACTTGTCCTGACTCTTTAACATTATTCATTCATATCAAGTTATCACCCCCAACCCCCCCCGCAAATATCCCTGTGAAGAAGCTTGCTTTCAGGTCTGACTTCTAAAGGGCTAATTTCTGAAGGAAGACGCAATGGTCCAATGCAAATAATTCATCTGTTTTGGCAATAAGACCACAATTTTGCAAAAGTCTGAAAAATGGCAATGCTGATCAAGAAGTGAATTTTTGTCCTCAGTTCAAACTTGTTTTGGGTCCCTCTGTTAAAAAACGAATATGAAGAGTTAGTGACTTCACATTGTTCCTGAATCCTAGTGGACAATGGGCTTGTCTGCAGTAAAGTGCACCAAAAATAACCTTTCTGCAAGCATGTTTATAAACCATACACAAGAGAAGCAAAGGCAGTTGCTAATCGTTTCACATGACCTGTGGTTTGTCCCTTGGTAAATCTTATTTGTTGGTCATTGGTGATTTGAGTAATAGGTTTTCATTTTTAATAAATAACAAGAATTGTTGAATGGTCCTACAGATTGGAATCCAAACTTGTCCCTAATTAAAATAAATTTAATGCAGGTGTGGCATGTGAGGAACAATTTCTGCAAATAATTGAAACTATTTCCTTCTCAAATGTGAAGCTTTTGAATATTTACAAAATAGCTTTACAAGTATTCTTGAAGGTCTCTGACATTTATTTTTTGTAGGATCATATTCCACTTTAAGCTTATGCTTGGCTGGTAGGATTCCACTCCAGTAGATAGTGACCAATTGCACCAAAAGTCCCAAACACCATTCTCTTCCAGGATAATGTATCTCCTGACCTCAGGTTTTTAGCCCCTCTTTTAACGCATTATTGCAAGGGTTATTTCAGTTGTCATCTTAAGTCTTTGATTTCCAAGCCTCTGCCATTCTGCTTAGTAGAAAACAGTTTTCTAAAACACATAGAAGAACTGTAAATGAGGAACTAGAGAGTGTAGTGTTAACTTGTGAAACTTAACAGCAAACTCTTAAGTTTATGTTAAACTTTTCTTTAAATTTTATTTTTATTTTATGAACATTAGTGTTTTGCCTGTCCGTGTGAGGGTGTCAGGTCCCCTGGAACTGGAGTTTCAGGCAGTTGTAAGCTGCCATGTGGGTGCTTGGAATTGAATCTGGATCCTTTGGAAGAGCAATCATTGCTCTTAACCACTGAGCCATTTCTCCAGCCCCTATTTTAAGACTCCTGCAAATAAAATATTGCTATTTATTTCCATGATGTTCTGTCATTGAGGCTTGGAACAACAATCATATCACATAAATATTAATATTTTATGTGATGAAGGAATTTTTGTTAGAATTGCAGATCCTAAAGAAATTGTAGGTTGCAGAACTCAGAAAGTTCTATGCCATCCAACAAAACCCTATCTCAAAAAACAAAACCCCACTGCCTGAAATTCTCAATTCTTGGCATATTAAGCATCTTTACAATTCTTCTCTCATCCTGTTGAACACTTGAGCACTTTTAGTTTTCCATTACAAATCTCCCCACCCTGATCTTCTCCCTTTGATCCATAAATGCAATTATGCAATATGTTGCTGAGCTGAATAGTAGGATTCTTGCTAAGGTTTTGGTTTTTCAAAGAGAAGGCAGTATTTTCCTGGGATGTAATGTACGCTTAGGTAGACTAGAAGAGCATACCATCTGGAATTACACTTTAGTCTACCGTGGAAAGACTTTCTAAACTGGAAACCTTAATTTTTTTTTTCCTTCAGAATTTTCTTAAATTTACTTAGCTTTAAGGAATTTGGCTAATTTTAATGAAAACACTGTGCTATTATAGGGAATACTTTGAGATATTTAAAACTGTAGTTGTCATTTTAACGCAGTGAAATTTGTAGTCTTAGGAACTTGGTGGTTTGCTGTTAGGACAATTGTTTCTGACCGTGGCTGGGATTTCTGTCTTTCCTTAAGGACATGGTGATGATGATTGAGGACTAGAGAGTGAAGAGAACCCCAGATTCTTGACCGACTGTTGTGTGTTGGGCGCTTTCCTGTCCTCAGCCCTTTCTCTCAGTAACAATGAGGAAAGTGAGGCTGAAGGCAGTGTAGTGATCGTGGACCATAGTCCTAGTCAGAATTCAGTCTTTATCTAGGAGTTCTGGAACAGTCATTTTTTTTTTCCTTCCTTTCCCTTCCTCTTCCCTTCTTTTTTTCTGAGACAGGGTCTTACTGTGTAGCTCTGTCTGGCCTGGAACTCACTATGTATACCAGGCTGGCCTTGAACTCTGTGAGATCTGCTTGTCCCTGGCTCCAGAGTGCTGGGATTACAGGCATATACCACTACACCTGGCCATAAATCATCTATTTTTGAGACAGTGTCTTGCTAACATTGTATAGGGTAACTTCAGACCCAAAATCCTCTTGCTTCTCAGCATCCTCAGTGCTGTGATTCTAGGCCTGCCACCATTCACTGCTGAATTATTGCCTTTAAGAGATGCTACACAGAAACTGGAGAGATGCCTCAGTGCTTAACAGTGATTGTTACTCTCATAGCTCCTGTGTTTGGTTCCTAGATCACAAATGACAACTCAAAATCATCTTTCACTCCAATTCTAGGGGCTTTCTGACCTCCAAAGACACCAGGCACACTTGGTTCACATATATATATGCAGGCAAAATGTTCATGTGCATAAAGTAAATAAATATTTTTTTTTAAAGCAAGAAGCTGCACAGATTTCCTGCTGCTTTTGTTTCCTGTTGGACTTTGGCCTTACCTGTTTAAAGTATGGTTAGTGATGTGATATAGTGAACAAAGGAGGGCTTGGGGTTGGTCAAACAAGTGCTGAGTAACAGAAAAATGTGAGCCACTTATTTTCCTTTAGATTGTGTGGTAGACATATTAAAACTTAAAATAGAGGTGGAATTCATGTTTTATTTACCTCAGTACACTGAAAATACTGTTTTATCATGTAATCAGTATAAAATTTGCTATCAAGGTATTTTACAAGTTTTGAAAATTTTGATTTATTTTAAAATTTTATTTAAAATGGACATTTTGCACCCAGACATCTGGGTCTAGACCTTATCTTCATTACAGATACTTGATATCTATTTAGAGATTATATGCTTTACTGTAAGGAAACCAAATTTGTACACCTAGATTATTTTTATTTTTTTCTGTTCTGATTTATTTTGGTTTATTTTTATTTTTTTGAGACAGGGTCTTACTATTTTGCCCTAAGTAGCTTGGAACTCATGTAGAACAGCTGACCTCAAATTCAAAGAGATCTACCTGCCTCTGCTTCCCTAGTGCTAGGATCCCAAAGGCATGCTCCACCATGCCCAGCTTACTGGATTTTCTGATAGCTGACTCAGTCATCAATTAGTTATTTGATTTGAACTAATGTAAAGTGAGTCACAGTATCCAAGTTTCAAGAGCTCAGTGTGAGGTGTTGCTTATGGCCATGTATATGAATAATACAGATTGCACCTTGATTCTTGTCTCATTTGTAACCATGGGTGTTGTCTCTGTGTCGGTCTTTTGTATATCTGAACATTTGATATATAGGATTTACTACAACAGTGTTTTTAAAAATTAGTGATCTGAAATTGTGTCTCCCTCCATATCTATGAGCTTTCATTGTGTGACTTTGGTATAGTTTTAATTGTTGTTCATCGTGGAGATGTTTTTCACAAACCTCACTAATCACATCTAATAAAATACACATATGGAATACTAGCCAGGCCTTTATTAATATAACCCCCCCCCCTCTTTTGAGGCAGTGTCTCATTGTATAGACCAGGCTAGCCTGGGAGTTGCTATGGTCTGCAGAGTGATAGCAGCCTGTGCCCCACCATATCCTACTGGTTTTTGTTGTTGTTTGTTTGTTTGTTTTAGGATAGGGTGTCTCTTAGCTGTGTAGTCAAGAAGACTGGTCTCAAGCTCATGGTCTCCTGTTTCT